CATTAATGCACTGCGACAGTGATTGGTCCCTGAAAGTTATCTAGGAATAGGACAGCTGATAGCTGCTCTTGAGCCACAGATCAGGACCCGTTGTCCAACCAACAGCCAAGCCCTGGATGTTACACTCGGAGAGCACCTGTGAGTGTCCTATATGAATAAACTCTGCAACTCATGTTTTCAGGCTTCATTCACAAATACACTGTAACAAACTGTTTGCAAGAAAAAAACTGAATGAGCAGCACTGAGGCAGGAAGCGGGTGCATGGATCTGAATGCAGACACGTGCGTTCAGATCCACACACCCACTCCTGCCTTCGTGTCATGTGTTTAACATGCGACTGTGTCTGTGCAGCATCTGCATCCACCTCTACATGCTGCCTGTGCGCAGCGCTGACGTGAATGCAGACGCAGCAAAAAGCAGCTCAGCAAAAAGGATGGGTCTCAGAGCTCATCTAAATGAGTCCTATGAAAAAAAAAAATAAGAAAAAAACTGTTATTTTTTATATTCGTTATTTTAAGTCGGGGAAGATGACTTGGACAGCAAGGCACCTTTCCTACGAGATGCCTCGAGTTATGTTTTTCATCCTGCGATAATCTGACTCGAATGCCCTTTAAAACAAACAAGCGCAGAGTGTTCTCAAATGTTGTCAGGACGCTTTGATAGCTGTCAGTGCTCTTGGAAGCCGTTAGTCACATGCAGTCCCCCCCCCCCCCCCCCCTCTTTCCTGCACCCAAAGCAGACACTGACTCCCTTGTTCTCTCCAGAGAGCGGCTGCAATCCCTAGCCAAAGGGCCGTGATTATTGGCGAAGGACGATTTCTTTCTATAAGATCACTTGAAAAGTTAAAACCTCTTCATTTTCCTGCGGCTCAAGTGATGACACTCTCAGCTGACTATAATCCTGGAACTCAAAATGTGGCAGATATTTATCTAGTTTTATCAGCTCGTTGAGAAATGCCGCACTGCCTCAAGTCACCTTCGACTTTTAAGTTTCTTTATGATATTTATGACATTTAGAGGGAAGTCAGGCTCTGTATAGTAGCCTTTATCTTTATCAATGCAAATTTCACACAGTTGAAAGGATAGGTTCGCCTTTCATAACATGTTACACCCATATTCAGGGTGTAACATATAACAAGTTATGTAAGGACCAGCCCCTGCTCTTCCCCCTGGTCCCCCATTTTGACAGCTAGCAGGGGATCTTCTCCCCCCACTAGCTGTCAATTTTTTTTTTAATGCCGTGTCACTCATTCACAGCGTTCTGTGAATGGGAAACTACAACTTCCGATAGCCTTTGCGGCTGTCGGCTTGCAGCTCTTAATGAACTACCTTGGCGCTGTGAGCACTCTGGTAGTTCATTGATTCTTCCTGTCAGTATCAGCAAGGCATGAGCACACAGATACACTGACAGTCTGCAGGAGACCTGCATGGCACCAGAGATCTGCTGATCCCTGGTGCAATGCTTTACAGACTCCTAACACAAAAAATAGTAAATGCACATTTTTTTTTATCTGCAAAAAAATGTGCATTTATTATTTTTTGTGAAAAGGTGAACTTATCCTTTAAATATTAGTGATAAAAGTAGCATAAGTACACAACAGTTTTCAACGTACATTTATTTTTTTCAATCCTTTTCCGAAGGGTTAATTCACATCTATGTGTTGTAAAATGAAATATGCGTCTTTTGATCATACATATATCATGTTTTTAATGTGTTGCATTGAATTTTCATGCAATGCATAATGGTGGAATTCAATAAAGCTGCTGTGTCAATTTTCTGGTGTTAATCCCTCGTTAATGTACTGCACCAAATTCATGAAGCATTTACAACACTTTTGGTTCTGACAGCGACTTGAGCACCAAATTCAGGTAAATCTTAAATGCCCCACTTTTAAATTGTGGTGCAATGAATGCACCAAATTCAAAACAAAATACCAACACTTCGTATCTAATGAAAGTGGAGCTAATTAGAACCAACTCTCTTGGTATACAGAAAGAACTGGCAAAAAAAGATTTTGCAAAATTGTCTCGTGTACATTCTAAAAGTGGTGCATTATGTGCCAAATTCAAGTACAAGTTCTATACAGGCACCTGAATTTGGCACATGTTGCATTACTTTTAGAACACATGAGTAACATTGTTGCAAAGCCTGTCTGTACCAGTCTGAATTCCAGGGTATGTGCGTTTTACATGCATTTTCCTACTTCAGTCACCTGGGAAAAATGTACATGTGGCTCAAAAAAAATGTACTGATACATACGCATTATGCGCTTTTTGTGTGCTACCATTGACTATAATGGAAGGTGCATTTGTGGTGCGTTTTTTTTTTTACAAAAGATGTGAACAGTTATAGTATATAGCATGTACAGGGGACAATTTTACATTTGCTTTTGACATGCTGAGCAGGAGCGTAGGTTTTCTTTGAATACTAAAAATAAATTAAAGAGCGTTTTTGGTTTGTAGTGCTCAGATGCAGTTCCGCTTTAAAAGAGTGGTTCTGGTAAAAAAATAAGTGTTTTTTTTTCATATGATCCTCAGCTCCATCTTGCCACAATGCAGTATTTTATCAAGCCACTCTATTTTTAGGAAAAAATGTCATTCGAACTGTAGAGTCAATAAAAAGAGAACATTTGTTTTCCCCCATTTCCACAGAATGAATGTATCAGCAGTTTTGCAGGTGAAATAGCTATGCATGTTTAATTGTAAATACACCCCTTAATTTCATTTCACAGCGTTAATAGAAGCTATTGGTGGTAGATTACAGCCTTCCACTGTTTTTTTTTTTTCTTAGCAATGAAAAGCCAATTGAAAGTGTGTGAACCTGCTGGGAAATTGCCATGCATAATTGCCACTGAGCATATGCACACTTGACAGTTACTGAAGCAATGCACTGTGGGAACAGATGTCAGACTTGAGCGTCTATAACAAGGCAGAGGCACCACAACAAATGACAGTAAGGACTAAAAGCCTACAGTTAAAGAATATGTAAACCCTAACAATGATTTGTTAAATTTACCATTAAAAACTGTTCGATGTTCCAAAAAATACCTTTAGATTCTACCAGCATTCCAGTGAGCTGTAACTTCCTGTAATAAGTTAATATCGCTGAACTGAAATCTCAAGCAGTATTTTAAGCCCTGCCCAGTTCTCTCTGTGAACTACAGAACACCTCCCCCTTTGTTATGAAGCAGTGGAGAAGTGGAGGTACACGTTTTGTCCTAGGATGACACCGCTGTTCCTTCATAGATACAGCACAGTGAGTGTTCTCACCCTAGGACAGGAAGTGTGTTACTGAAAGAATCACCAGGTCATACTGGGCATTTTTACAGCTGCCGTTTTGTCTGCGTCAGACATTTTTTTCTACAGCCAGTAAACTTTCCTGCATGTTATCCTTTGTGTCCATGCACACATGGGCTTTTATCAGCAATTTTTGGCAGGGGCGTTTTCAGGCTGGAAAAAAACCCCAGAACTACAGCTTGAAGAGGAGCTTTTCAGCTGTAAATATGCTATAACACTGAAAAACATGGGTATCTGGCGTTTATGAGCGTTTTTGAGCCTCAAGCCTTTGCAGGAGTATAGTTTTGTTAAAAAACGTGAATGGTATGAAATGCTGCAAAACGCTAATGCGAAAACGCTAAATAAGCATCAAAACCGGCGCTTTTACCGTGACATTCTACAGCTAATGCTACTGGCATTTTTAAAACATCCAGTGAGGTCTATAGCAAAAAAAATATGAAAAAAAAAAAGGATTTAGCAAGCACATCGAAAGACTGCTAAGCTGCAATATTTTACATTCTTGATCTTAGGTGTACATACACTTTAAGTAATTTAGGAAGGAGTTGAAGCAAATAAAATGGTTAACACCCCGGTCACGTCAAAGCTGAATTTGAAATCGTGCATGATTTCAAAATCAGGTGACCTGCCGATTTCATTACGATTTGCAAGACATCTGACACAGATGTCTATGAAATCGCAACAAAAGTAGTTCATGCGCTACTTTAGAAATCGGTGCGGCTCTGACCAAGTTGGAACCGCACCGGTATGACCGGTCTAATAGCGGACAATAGGGTGCGACTTGGCATACGATTTGCAAGTCGCATGGCATGCAAATTGCATGCCACGTCCCACCTGATGTGACTGGGGTGTAAGACTGCAGTTTTCATGCATTGTAGTTTACATAGAGAATGGAGGGATGGGGGACCTTATGTATGTAAACCCAAAATCTATTTTTCAGTATGTTTGGTATCATGTCTCCTAATGTGAATATGCTGCAGAGTTTCTTACCTGGCGATCCTTCCAGTACCAGTATTTCCTCTTGCAGGCTGACGCTAACCTACTTAAAAAATTCTATATGCTCCCAAATCCCTCCTCAGCAGCATAAGGCTTCATGCACACTGAAAGTTTTGCCAGTCCTCCTAAACGCCTTTCCTCCTGGCAGAAAAAACGCTTGTCACCTGAAAACGAGTGTAATGCATTTAGGTGTGTCAAGTGCTTGGGCGTTATTTCATTTCATTGGCAAGAATATTAATCTAATCTGGCCATTCACATGAATTAAAGCTCAAACACTAAACGATCCTAATTTTAACGCACGCTGAGACACATTTACATGCATTTTGGCACATAAATAATTTTTTATGCCAAAATGCTGGATGTGCTGGCAGTGTTTTTTTTTCTACCTCTAAACACCTATAGGAGCATGGAGACACTGGCAAGGGGCGTTTAAAGGTAGAAAAAAAAAAAACGCCAGATGCCCCTAGGAGCAACATTAAAAATCATCCAGTGTGCATGAGGCCTAATGAATGATGCTGCTAAATGCGGTGCCTGCAACTCCCATACAGAATAAGTATGAGTACATCCAAATATGGAGTTACTCATTTTGCATATTATTACACCTCCTCCAATATGACCAAGCAGGAAAATGTTCGGGAGATCTATTTAATTAAATATAACCATCTGACAGAAACAACAATTATCCCAATGCTCCAGGTATTTGGCACTCACCTGGGGGCAACATGTTTCTGCTCCTCCTCCTCGTCAGTGTCGCTGCTGATAGTGATGACGCTCACGGCCGGGCTGGGCGTATCAGGGATGACGATTGTTTGACGCAGATGGTCAACACGGGATGGGGCCACAGAACTGTCCCCCCAGCCGCAGGTGATGGAGGGGACGCAGGGGGCGGAGCTCTGTGGCACAGAGCAGCGAGGAGGCGTGTTCTCCTTCACCCGTTTGGAGCGCTGGGGGGAGTTGTGTGATTGGGAGGAGGAAACCTCATAGGAAGAGGAGTTCCTGGTGGGCAGAACCAGCAACGTAGAGAGAGAAAAGAAGAGGAGAAAAGAGAGAGCATTAATAGTGGGTCAATCCAGGTGTAATTATAATAACAAAATAACAGTGATATCATCATTACACACAATATAATAATAAAACTGTATATAATAATAAGATTAAACCTTTAAAATTTACACCTATCAATGAAATAATCCTTTATAGTTCACCCATAGGTAGCCAGCACTACTAAAGCCAGCCATGGATGGATCGAAATTCAGCAGGAACTGGACAAATTTCCATCCATGTATTGGTAAGCTGGTTGTACTGATGTCAGTCACTTGATCGACTTCAACCTGTCCATTTTTTTTTTTTCGTTCAATCACTGCCGGTGGCTATAGCAGCTGGCAGTGATCATTATATTATGTATTCTGGCTGGGAAACCTCCCACTGTCAGAATATAATACCGCTGTGGGAGGATTGTGGTTTCAGAAAACAAAATTGCTTAATGTATGGCTTGTTTAAGGGGGGAGTCACCTTATATCCTATCACTGAGGGCCCAGGAATGTTATTAGGGCTCAGAGTTTTTATTACATGGCTGATCCAAAATGGTCTTGTTTTATATGAGGAGCGTTCAAGTCAAACCGGGACTTAATTTTACAGGTGTGAAAAGGGATGCTGGTGTGGCGGTACTACAAGCAGTAGTAAGTGGCAAGTGTGTCCTATTACTGATAGAAGATGTGGTCACGGGCCAGTCCAGAGACTGTTAATCAAGATGGCAGACAACAGTGTTAGTGTGTGCATGGAACAGCATGTGATGATGATGTTTCTTGTGAGCGAAGGCACAAAACCCACAGATATCTACAGAAGACGGGGATGAGACGCAGTAAGACATCTGAATGGTGTAAATGTTTCAAAGATGGCCGTACGTCCATCAGTAACGATCCCAGCCATGGTGGTTCACAGCCCACAGCAGTCATTCCTGTAAACATTCAGTGTGTGGAATGCCTGATCCTAGATAATCAATGCATAACCTGTTATGAAATTGCAGAAGAGACGACTCTTTCTATGGGAACGGTGAACACAATCATTCACGAACATTTGCATTTTCAAAAAGTTAGCGCACGCTGGGTACCAAGACAGCTTTCCGCTTTTGACCGGCACAGAAAAGTTGAAGTCTGCACTGCGTTGAAGGAGCATTTTGACAGGGAGGGCCAGGATTTTCTGGATCGCATCATTACATGTGACAAAACCTGGCACATTATTTCATAAACGTAAAAAAAAAAAAAAAGCAAAACACTTGCTTTGAGTGAATTCCACCTGTTTGAACCCCTAAGAGTTCCTCGGAGGTCAGCATTTCAGCACTGATGACGAAGTGAAGCAGGGTGACCTAGGATTGTTCAGGCGTACTGACAAATCTTTCTATGCGGAAACATTCCAGGCATTAGTTAACCGCTGGGATAAGTGTATAAATGTAGCAGGGGAGCATGTAAAAAAATAAATGCAGTTTCCACTCCTTGACAGTATATAGACTCAAAAGTGCCGGTTTGACTCGAACGGGCCTCTTATAAAATAATAACTGCAAACTCTGTTATACTTTTACTAAAACAACATTTTTAAAGTGACTTTATAGAATCCCCCAACTCAAAATCACAGCTGTAGTACTGGATGCAATATATTGGTTAAACAGGTTAATTGACAATAAATTTGACGCATACAGGAGCCCTGGCAGAAACAAATGTTAGAACATATACAATATTTCCAACGTGATCAACTTAAAATAAACAGGATGCATGTTCTCTAAGCCATGCATTTCTCTCCATAGGCTATTGCAGCCTCCACCTGCTCTCCCCTCTGAATGTGTGTGATTGGGCAGCACAGTGGCTAAATGGTTAGTGAACGTTCAATTGGGCTTTGCTTATTGCCTGCTCTTTAGTTTAGTTTAAGTGCCACTAAAGCATGGCATAATATAAAAGCAGATTGTAAGGTATGGAAATGATGACCAGAGACAGCTTGTATATGCATGTATAATAGAAAATGACCTTTACTGTAACTGCCATGCCATTGAAAAAAAATGTCCAAACATATTGGAAAAGGTCTATCATTTTGCAACGAAGTAAATTGTGCATGACAGCTGTGAATGGCCAAGCCAGATGTTTGCAGGTCAAAGTATAGATCTTAAAGGCAACGTTCACCTTTAACAAAAAACTGCCTATGCAGTAAAGGGGTGCCTGTTGATAAAAGCAAACTGTGAAGCTTTGGCAGAGTTGAGTAATGCCCTTGCTATGGGTCTTGGCGATTTACATATATTCCTACGCCTGGCCAAAAAATAGAGGTGGCATCTTCTCACTCTGCCTTGTTGCTAGGATGTTGCTAAGATACTCCCAGTGAATTCAGACCCCTTCACATGCTCTCTCTCCACTGCTGCAGTAGCTCTGATGCTGCGATGGAGGACACAGCGGACCACACATGTACGTAGGTTTGATAGCTCTCTCCTCTGATGGTGGGGTGAGTAGTGATGGCTGGTAGTGTCTTAGCAGCATCCTAGCAAGGCAGGGTGGGATGATGCCATCTGAGAGTTTTTCAGGTAGGCTCCGGGAGGTATGTAAATGGCCTGCACCTATAGCAAGAGCATTAATCAACCTTAGTCAAAGCTGCAGTTTGGTGTAGGCACTTTTTTTTGTAAAGGTAAACTAACCCTTTAAATCCCCATCACTGACATTGTCTATCATAAAAATCTAATTGGCAGGTATAATGGTCAGAAGTGTACATTTATATGACAGTGAAATACTAATAAATGGAACTGCCACTAAAACTATTTTATTTGTTAGAGTATGAAAAGGCAGTCAAAGTCCAATACTCCAATGACCTCTCAAAGAAGCTTTACTGACAGCCAGATATGACACCGGAAACAGGACAGTTCCATCTAAAATTTGCCCTTACTGATGCTCTTTGTAAAACTCCTCATCAAGGGCATTCTTTATGTGGGACTTTCGTTCCTGTGTCATGTCTGGCTTTCAATACAGCGTTTTAGAGATGACGTCATCGGAGTGCGACCACCTTTTCATATGTTAGAGGCACAGACACAGTGGCGGTTTTTTTTGCGGCCTGCATCTGAGTTCCAAATGGTGACAACCCATCAACATTTCTTTGTATGAGTTTAGGACAGTCTGTGGAAGGTGAGAAGTAAGGACCCACCATGGGACGGTAAATGAGGGAACATCTACCCAACAGGAGTGTAGGCCGCAATAAAATCCGGACAAAAGCTCAACCCCTTCACCATTCTGTTATATTAAAGTATTTAGTTGCTGTATGTGTCCCCATTGGAGAAATCTGTCTTGGCAACCACCATCACCTATACAGGAAGTGAGTGCAAATCTTCCTCAAAGCGGTCACAGACAGCAATAAACATATGACAAAACACATGACATATATGACATAGGAAACATACATTTTGGAGTTTTACTTAAAGTAGTAATCTTGGCTAGAGGTAATTAAACATTATTATAACAGACATATTCCATTGACACCATCAGGTTGTTCATTCTCACCGATAAGCCCCTCCCACCAGCCTGGCGGCTGACCTGGTTGAGGAGTGGTGCTGTTTTTTGCGGGATGAGGAAGCACTGGTTGGCTGTTGTCTCATGACATGAGCCACGCCCACATTTAGGGGCTGGGCTGAGGGTAGGGTCACATGACCAGCCAAGAGAGCCGGCTGCTGCATAATGGGGTTGTAGTGGGCACCGTGGGCATGGCTGTTCCTGGAGGCAGAAAAGAACACAATCAGAATGACTGATACAAAGTTACTCAGGATACGCACCAAAACATTGTCTATTACATCCATCTATTCTATATATGTATCTATCTAATCTATCTATCTCATAAATTTAATTATACATTTTAAAATAAATTGAAATATCTACTTTGTATGTCTATGTCTCTTTCTTTCTGTACTATATCTATCTATAGATCTAAATTACAGTATATCTATATATCTAATATATTTTGTTTATCTACATAATGTATCTATTTACCTATCACATATATTTATTTATCAAATCTATCTGTCCAAATCTATTTTTATATCTATCTAATACATATATTTAAATATCTAATCTATCTGTCTATCTAATATATTTTATATCTGATCTATCTATCAATCTATTTTAATAGGCACTCAGAATTCTAGTTTTGAATAGATTTGAGGGTGAAGTCACCAAATATCATTGTTTTCCTCTTGGGGACTGACTAGGTAGAATGACAAATTCTTGGGCAGGTAAATTAGTTCGCTCATTTGTATTTTAACTTGAAGTTTAGCTTTCTGTCTGGAGTATAACTTAAAAACAAAACATTATGCTCCCCAGCAATGGATATGATAGGCCAGACTTACCGCCAGTCTGCCAGCTGCTGGGTGCCCGTCATGCTGTCTGGGATGACCGTGGCATGCTGGACAGATGTGTGGGCTGCCACTCCTGCCAACTGCTGCCAGGCCGGTGGAAGAAGGATCTGCTGAGTGCCACTTGGCCAAGCCTGCTGCAAAAAGAAGGAAAAAAAGTTTATTTAGGAACTTTAAACCAGCAAAAATATAATATTGTAAACATATCAATATAAAATGTTCAAATTTGTACAGCACTCCATAATCATCGTACTCCCCTTGACAATGCCTTCCTCTGTTTTCTCTTCAGAAAGACAGCACCATCTTTGTTCAGGCATCATCCAGAGTCACCATCTACTTCCTGGACTGAGATGCCAGCTTGGAGATGACACAATCATGTAAATCCTGATGCCTGTGCGAATCATGGCTGTGCTCACAAATCTCTAACACAGATCAACCCCTGCACTTTGTGACTTGCTATAAAGTTACAATATTGCAGCCTAATCACTAGGGGGGGGGGAGAAGAGACTGAGAAAATGCTTCCTTTTACCTTCAGCAGATTACCAACATCATCTCAGCTTGGGCAAAATCCCAAGCTGTTTTTATTTTTTTACTTAACAAAAAAAGGGATGGTTTTTCAGCAAACAATAAAAGGTGGATCTTTTCTGGAAAAGTATACTGTTACTGTATATTGTGATATGTCAAAGGAGTTATTCATGTAAAGTTACTGAAAGGTCCACTTTAAATGTATCCTCCCTATCATATAATATACTTGCTAGCTTCTCATTACCCTGGATCCTTTTAATTCTGGCCTGTACTGGAATAGCTGAATGTAATAAAACTTCTAAAGGCATTTTATGTGTATTTTGGTTGAAGATTATTACAGAGTATAACCAGATAAGAAGAACAGAAAATGTACTAGTTTTTCTAAATAGTAAAGAAATCATTTCGATGTGGACACAAACTGGTATTAGTGGCACAGTACAATGGACTTGAATGTGGGTTTTAAGGTTCTCGTGGTGCTTTCCAGACTGCCCACTAGGGGGAACCATTTAGATGGACAGGAGCTGAAGTGTCACTACTGTACAGACATTGCAGGCTCCTTCCTTCTTTGCTTATTACTGTTGTGCATTGGACAGTTCAACACCACTTTATTATTATCATTATTATACAGGATTTATATAGCGCCAACAGTTTGCGCAGAGCTTTACAAAATGAAGGTAGACATTACAGTTACAACACAATTTAGTAGAGGAAACAGAGGGCCCTGCTCGTTAGAACTTACAATCTAGGAGGAAGGGCTGAGTGATACAAAAGGTAATAGCTCTGGAGGGGATGATCTGATGGAGGAAATAAATGGCGGTTTACTAGGTAGAAGCAGGATAGACTTCTTTAACCTCCCTGGCGGTATGATTATTTCAGATTTTTGGTGCTGAAAGCGCTACCATTATTTTGCATGGAAATATGTAGTTTTTTTATTGCAGGCTGTAATTTTTAGGAATAAATTACTGAAATCTGTCCAAACAAGAGTCTAGTAAACATCCCGGGTAGGATAAAACTTGAAACACTAAATAATAAATTATAATATAATAAATAATCATAAAAAATAATAATATAATAATAAATTTAATTCAATAATATAATCAAACCAAAAACACTGAAATTTGAAATAAAGCACCAAGTTTGCACATCACTGAGCAAAGTCACAGAATCGTTTTCAGTGTCTGATGACAAATTTCCCCACGAATCATTATCACTCAATTCTGCAAGTGGTTCTGATTTACTATCGCTGTTCTCTAGCTGGTCTAAAACCACTTTTGACCTAAAGGGACGCTTTTTAAACGCCATGGACCTTTCTCAGTTTCCAGGCAGAAAGAACAGTCAAAATACAGGCAGGGCACAGGACAAAGCAGTTGGGACAAAATGTATGTGAAATGCTTTGAAACAGCAATGTTTTACTATGTAATATTCCTTTTAAAAAAAATGACATTTTTTAAAACTTTCAAATTTGCCACCAGTTCCGGCGCCCGTACGTCCCGACGTCACAGGGACAGGAACACGGCAGCTGGATGCCGGCATCGGCCAGAGGAGATGGCCGGGGATGCTGCAGGGGACACATCGCGGGAGCGAAGGACAAGGTAAGCGCTGAAGGGAATCCCTGAGCAACACCAAATGGTGAGCCCGAGTGTAGCTCGGGGATACCGCTTGTGGTACTGAAATGTTACCCCGATCTACACTCGGAATACCGCCAGGGAGGTTAAAGAGAAAGGTTTTCAGGGATCGTCTAAAAGTGGATTGATTAGAAGATAGCCAGACAGATTGGGGTAGAGAATTCCATAGGATGGGAGAAACTCAGGAGAAGACCTGGAGGTGAGCATGGGAGGAGGTGACACGGGAACTAGAGAGCAGAAGATCTTGGGAGGATCGAAGAGAGCGGTTTGGTTGATATTTTGAGACCAGGTTGGTGATGTAGCTGAGGGCAGAGTTGTGGATGGCTTTGTAAGTTGTTGTTAGTATTTTGAATTTTATTCGTTGGGCGAGTGGAAGCCAGTGGAGGGATTGGCAGAGAGGGGTAGCAGACACTGAACAGCTGGTAAGGTGGATGAGCCTGGCAGCACTTTAGTCACAGCACTCAGGGAGAAGTCAGCAAAATGTGAAGAAAGCACACCAAGTTTTGCATACGTGCCATCTTAAAGAGAACCGGTTACATAATACCAAACCTTTGGAGTGCACAGGATACAAAGAGCGGTTTAAAAGGTTGGTTTGTATGCACATTTTTCTTTAAAGAATATGTAAACCCTAGATTTCATATTCCTGTTATAGTATGTGCCCACTGTACCATGTACTTGTATGGCAGAGTATTCTGTTCTCTTTTCATTGTTTCCTTTGTGTGAAATCTCTGGTGTTCCAATTAGTCCCTCTGCTTTCCTATTAAAAACTGACCACACTAAGCAGAACACACTATGGTCAGTTTTTGTAGCTATGCTGGAAACACAGCCTGCTCTCTTTCAAAGATCAGTCTTGTCCTGATACTCCTCTCCCCCCCAACTTCCCCGAACAGCCTTTCACTTGGAAGATCAGTGTACTGCCATTTCTCCTCCCCAGCTCTCTGTGCAGCGGAAAACAGAAGGTATGTTATTACTGATGAAAAAGGAGAAATAAAGTATTTATGTTTTTTTATATGTATACACAAACTTTTTGCCTTTATTTTCCATTTTACTGAATGGGTTGTTTTACAAGGTGAGGGATTACAATCACTTTAAGTCCAATTGCCAGCCACGCAGTGTCAGTCGGTGGATCAGCTCGCACTGCACTGGAAAAAAGATACTGCATGCAGTACTTTTTTCCAGTGCATACCGCCTGCCCACCACCCCAATGCAGTGGTGTGAACTAGGCACACCAAGAACATGGCATTTTGCCTTGTTATGTGGTGGAGCTGCACTGGAATAGACACTCAAAGCAGTCCCACCGCACCACCCCTTCAATTGTATTTTGATCACAAATGCACAATTATTCTTTAAATTGGGAATATTTAATAATTGCACTAACCCATACCAACCAATGATAATCATCTTGCCGAAAAAGAATCTGAAATCTTATTGGTAGGACTTCTGTCCTTTGCATTAAGGCTCTATGCAATGACATAATAAATCGACAGCCTATACCTGTGTCAGGAGTCCTGACTGGATCTGCAGGGCTTGGGCCCCAGCGGTCTGCGTTACCAGCGGCACAGTATTATCCATACGCACGGAGTAGCCACCATGTTTGGAAGGAGATGTCTGCAGTCCTGGTGAAACAGAAGAAAAGGATTAATGCATCCCACAGAGAAATTTGTCCTTTAATGAGGTCATGTGTGCAGTCAGGGACCTTGCTAATAAACTTTTTATATGGTTTATTTAATTTCCAAAGCATCAACCTATTATATAATGCCTAATGAAGAACACAGAACTGCTCACATCCGACCCACACATACATAGGGAGCATATAAAAACTGCATACAGATGTTCCTGGCAGGAACTGCACCCAGAACCCCAGTACTGCCAGCCACAGCACTAACCAACAAGCCATCATACTGCCCTGGGAGGATAAGGGACCTCTTGAAATCTTGGTGGCATATAGGGACCACAGACCCTTTCATTTCCTTTAAGCTTCCACTAGTGGTGCTAATTGAGTCCTTACCTTGGAAGGCAGGCGGGCAGACAATGAGAGCCTGCTGAAAGGGATCAGGACGGGCACAGATCTGTGTGGTTCCAGTTTGTAGGGGCATGCTCCTCTGGGCAACGGCTGCCATGGATGCAGCAGTGGGCTGATGGAAGACAACAGCAGGTTAGAGCCCTAATAACATTTCCCCAAGGGTGAGAGTAGTCACAAGTCTCACAAGACATGCCTCACCTGGCTGTGCACAGTGTTCAGATGGTTGTTGAAGGTCATAGTGAGGTTAGTGGAAGTGCTGGGCGCCACATGCGTGATGAAGGGCGTTTTGCTGTGGTTCACAGTGTCATACATGTTCACTCGTCTCTTACAGATCTCCATGTTCTGGAAACAGGACTTTACACTGCAAAGACATAGGGGAAGGGCAAGAGCAGGGGCAAGACAGAAAAAGGCAGTGGGGAAGGAGGGAAGGGGAGAGCAGGGAATTTGTAGACACAGGTGGGAGAATAGGTGGGAAAGGAAGAAAAATGGAGAAAAATGCAAAATTACTGAATGAACATGTAACCACATGAGGAAGAAGAAAGCTGCAGAAAGAACTCTGCCCAAGAATGCAGATAGAAAATGTCTGTCATTAGAGCCTATCTATTAAAGCTTGTATGTGATCTAGAATATATCCTAAGAACATGAAATAGCTCCAGCATTAACGTATATTCAAGATATATCATTACAATTTGAACTTGTCTATTAAAGCTGGTGTAATAATATAGAATATAAGTTTACAACATAAAAAGCTCTAGCATTAAAGCATATTCAATATACTGTTTGTCATCCAGTCTGAGCGCTCTATCAAAGTCTGTGTAATAATGCAGAAAATCTCCTGAGATCACAATAGAGCTCTAGCATTAAAGCCTATCTACTAGAACAAAACATATAAACATATTATAACAGTCTGACCCGATCTATTAAAGCAGGGGTCTCCAAACTACGGCCCTCCAGGTGTTGAGGAACTGCAAGTCCCATGAGGCCTTGCAAGACTCTGACAGCCACAGGAAAGACTCCCAGAGGCAGAGGCATGATGGGACTTGTAGTACTTCAACAGCTGGAGAGCCACAGTTTGGAGACCCCTGTATTAAAGCTTGTGTGGTAATACAGAATATCCTCTAGAAATACAAAGCTCTAGCATTAAAGCGATTCTAAAGGCAATTTTTTAAAAAATAACAAACATATCATAACTTATCTACTATATGTAATGGTTTTGCACAGAGCAGCCCCAATCCTCTTCTTCTCGGGTCCCCTGCTGGCGCTCCTGGCTCCTCCCTCCTGCTGAGAGCCCCAGTGCTCTGGAGGCACTCGTGCATGCTTGTCCTGAGTCGGCTCTGTGTGTCCATTGACACACAAAGCATGGCTCAGCCCCACCCCCCTCCCTCCTCACTGGCTGTCGCTGACAGCAGCAGGAGCCAATGGTTCATGCTGTTGCCTCGGTGTCCAATGGGAGAGAGAGCCAATAGAGCCCCTGCTCTTGTGCACATCGTTGCATTTAGATCAGGCTCAGGTAAGTATAAGGGGGGTGAGGGGGCTGAGGGGGCAGCTGCATGCTGAAGGTTTTTTTTTTACCTTAGTGCATTAAATAAAAAAAAAACCTTGTACTTTTAGAACCACTTTAAAGACCATCTACTGTTACTAAATACACCATTACAATCTGACCCTATCTATTGTAAGAGCCTAGCTGTTAAGGCCTGCCAACAGATAAGACAAAGCCCATCTCTAATATTTTTTATAGACAAAATGGGGTTGATTCACTAAAACTGAAGAGTGCAAAATCTGCTGCACCTCTGCAAAGAAACCAATCAGCTGCCATTTTTTGTGGTCAAAGCTTAATTGAACAGGCTGAACTTAGAAGCTGATTGACTACCATGCACAGCTGCACCAGATTTTGCACTCTCTGGATTTAGTAATCAAAAAATCTAAATGACTACTATCCAGCTTTATAGAGCGACTAGGATGTCTATGGGGGTCCCAAGACCTCAACAGACATGCCTAGTCAGTGGACCTAGGATTAAATGTATTACCCTGAAGATGAGGCAGCATCTTAGGTGTTACTAGGAACAGGTAGATGTGTGGTTGTGTGATGGACCTTGCATAGTTAATGTGTTTGGCAGGGAAAAAAAAAGGGTCATAGAGCCTATAACCTATTTAACCTTAACTTTTCAGTAGAACCTAAGCACTTAAAATTATAATTTTGTACCAACTTTGTTCACTTTTTTAGTGGACACTCATAAATTTTCCCAACTAAAACTAATGCACAAGTTCAGATACTATTGTGCTAAGTCATAGGCAAGCCCAGCCAGATGATTCCTTTTAACCACAATGTACCACCCACCTCCACCCACCCCAGCCCTCTAATGTCTATGCCCCTATAGTAGACACCAGCAAGAGGCCGTACTGAGAGCTGTGTGGAAAATCCAGGAGATGGGTCATGGTGACAAACGGATGGTTGAGGGTCTCGATAGGGGTTATTCTCTTATCCGCATCGATGGTCAGCATTTTCTTCAGCAGGTCAATGAACTCTCGTCTGTCCGCCTTCTCTACAAGCATGTCACTGCCTTCTAGATCTGAAGTCATGTTCACCTGTGGAATGTAAAGATGATGGTCAGTTATAATGCATCTCAAGACATCTTTGGATAAAAGTGAGAATGTTTGAATCTTTGTAAGATTCTTATTGGTAAAGAACCCCAAGCTAACCCTGCTTTGGGAGCTGTCTCTGAAATCTGGATTTCAAGCCCTATGTTTCATATCTTTGGGTCCAGAACTCTACCAACACGTATCAAAGGTTCTTATTGCCGTCTTTGTCCCCATTGGAGAGATTTTCCCCTCCCTTCTTTTCCCAATGATCACAAGAGAAGTGAAGGGAAATCTCCTTATGGGGTACACAAGCAGCAATAAAAAGCTGCCAAAGGTCCTAACCCTTCCCCACACTATACAACATTTTGTCATAAATGGAAGACCCAAACTGACTAAGCTAGAATTGCTGCAAAAATGGTCATCCTAAAAACCATAATTGCTAGAGTAAAGGACAAAATACTGATAGGTGGCAAAATGATGATGTCATCCTTTATGGACAATGCAGTGGTGACTGTCAGTTGGATGATATTGTTTGATCACTGAAAGGTAATAGAGTGACACCGAAAGTTATTAGTGTAATGGCTTCACATTACTGAACAAACAGAAAATGTAAAGACATAAGCATAAACCTACACAGCCCAACCAAAAATGGAAAAATGGTCATCCTAAATACCATAATTGCTAAGGTTAGGGCCAAAATACTGATAGGTGTCAATATGGTGATGTCATCCTTTACGGACAATTAAGTGGTGACTGTCTTGGGATGATATTGCGTGATCATTGAAAGGCAATAGAATGATACTGAAAGTTGTAAGTGTAATGGCTTCACATTACTGAACAAACAGAAAATGCAAAGACTTATGCAGAAACCTACACAGCCCAACCACCCTGTACTTGTCCTTACCTGTGCCATGTCATCCAAGCAGTTAAAAATGTACTTTCTAGCTTCTTTGGATTTAATGCCGGTCTCTGATTCGTGATCCTCTGGGGTCTAGCACAAAAAAAGCAGGACAAAACAATAAAACATGGAAGCATTTTGTATTAAGTATCTTATTATTTAAAGCGGTATCAAACCCAAAAGCAAACATTTATTACATATCAGCCAGAGCAAGCGACAGGAGAGAGATCTGTGTTGTAAACACAGCACCAGGGAGACAAAACCGGCACATCCCTTAGTTTAAGTGGCTCCACAGGTGGTAACTCATATTCCCTGGGCTTTGGGGGTCCCCATCTTTTCATCCAGAGGGCCCTGGGTGTCCACATTGAGGGAAAGGGGGGGGCGCCACCGCTGATGAGAAATGACAGGGGCATCACTGCTCCTGTGGTCTGGAGGGATCCCAGGGATGCCAATGCAGTAGCAGCTCAGCCAAGTAAACAAAAAGCGGCAGCAAAGGTAGACTTCCACCACTGGGTTCCTCTGCTGGGCTCTGCATTAGATGAGTTATCAGTCAGAGCCTGGCAGTGAAGTGAGTAGAGGATGTTTTCTTTTGCTTTTGCCTCTTTGTGAGATCATCTGAGCTATCACTGCACTGGTATCCCCGGCGGTCGTTTAGACGAGAAAAATCAGCAGACAAAAAAAATGGAAAGGGTATTATTCTTCTACAGCATTCCAGATGAATGAAGCAGCCAGGTATTGAGCACCAGTGCCCCCCACCCTTCCCCACAGACTGGAAATGCCCCCAATAAGCACCAGGACCCCTATCTCCCCCACTAAACACCAAAACCCCCCCATTTCCCCCCTCACAAAGCAGCAGGACCATCCATTTCCCCCTACAAATCATCAAGACCCCCCATCTTTCCCTACTAAGCACCCATATCCTCCCATTTCTCCCTACTAAGAACCAAGACCCCCCATATCCCCCCAGTAAGCACCAGGACCCCCCAACTCTCCCCACACTAAGCACAAAGACCCTCCATTTCTCCTGACGCATCAGTCCCCCCCCCCCCCCATTTTGTCCTGCTTTGAAGACAAAGCTGAATTTTTTTAACCACTTGCCTACTGGGCACTTATACCCCCTTCCTGCCCAGGCCAATTTCCAGCTTTCAGCGCTGTCACACTTTGAATGACAATTGCGCGGTCATGCAACACTGTACCCATATGAAATTTTTATAATTTTTTTGAGACAGATAGAGCTTTCTTTTGGTGGTATTTAATCACCTCTGGGTTTTTTATTTTTTCTTAAACAAACCAAAAACCACTGAAAATTTAAAAAAAAATAAAGTTTTTTTCTTAGTTTTTGTTATAAAATTTTGTAAATAGGTGATTTTTCTCCTTTACTGATGTACGCTAATGAGGCTGCAGTGATGGGCACTGATGAGGAGGCACTGGTAGGTGGCACTGATGGGCATTGACAGGCATCACTGATGGGCACTGAAAGGTGGCACTGATAAGCGGCACTGACTGGCACTGATAGGCGGTACTGACTGGCACTGTTAGGTGGCACTGATAGGTGGCACTGATGGGCACTGATAGGCGGCACTGATGCACACTGATAGGCTGCACTAACTGGCACTGATAGGCGGAACTGACTGGCACTGATAGGTGGCACTGATTGGCAGCACTGATAGGTGGCACTGACTGGCACTGACGGGTGACACTGAAAGGCAGCTCAGATGGGCACTGATATGTGGTATTGATGTGCACTGGTAGGCACTGATATGTGGCATTGATGTGGCACTGATAGGCACTGGCACGTGGCACTGATCGACGCTGACAGCTGGCACTGATGGACTTTGACAGGTGGCACTGCTGGGGCTACACTGTTCATCAGGGCACACTGATCATCAGTGCCCTGATGATCAGTGAACATGTCCCCTCTGAGGGCTCTCCTCTCAAGCTGTCAGCGTCCCTATTTACATGTGATCAGCTGTGATTGGACACAGCTGATCACAAAATCGAGCTGACATCTTCGGCTCTTTCCGTTGATCCGCTGTGTCCGAGGGACACAGCGCACCACCGATCGCCACGATGCACGCTCCCGGAGCCGCGCATGCGTGGTTAGACTGGCGACGTCATATGACATCCTCTCAGAATGAGAGAACCACCTTGCACCCGTCATTGTACTATATGGCGGGCGGGAGGTGGTTAAACAGGTATGAGGGGTTAGGGGGTGGGGTCAGTGGTGGGGTTGGGGCCCCATCAGGTAGGCTGTAGGGGGCCCCATGATTTCTTACAGCAGCCCTGCAAATTACAAAACATGCCCAAGACACACAGTTAACCCTTTGATTGCCCCAGATGTTATCTACTTCCTACCCAGGGTCATTAGTACAGTGACAGTACATTAGCATATAGCAAAAGTATAACATAGAAGATTTTGCCTCTATTACATTTTTGGGGACAACCCAAAATTTGTGATTTTCTTCACTTTCGCTTTCAATGATAATGGTAAACAGGACAAATAGAGAAGGTGAATCCCCCTAACGGGGACAAAAACAATAATAACCTGACAGGCGGTCTAATCCATCTTGACGCTATCCAAAATAGGAAAAAAAAAAAAAAGGTTTTCCCTTTAGTCAACCCCAATGATTCTGTGTTTTTCCATATTTATTTATATATATTACTGCTGAGAAACTGATCCAGAAAGGTACAGACTACGCCAAACAGGCGATTATACTTTTATATTCCTTAAAGTGTTACTAAACCCAGGACCCTGTATTCACTATATCTGGTCTCCCACAGTACACAGAAATTGGAAATGCAATTATTTTAGTAAATATAAACTGCTAAATACCTTTTCTCATCAGCAGTTAGAACAGTCTTGTGACTTCTATCAGTGTCCAGCTGAGCACTGGTTAAAACGTGTAGGACAAGTTTTCATTATCCCCTGATTGTCCTATGAGGCTGCATAACCCCTGACCCTCTGTCTGGACAGTGTTGATTGGCCCTGTGCTGATCATGTGCACTCTCCCAAGAAATAAAAAACCTCTATAGCAATACACACCAATTTGAGCATGTGCAGCTTTCCCCCAAAGCTCTTTTCTACCAGTAGATGGATTGGGGACAGTAGAAGAAGGGGAGGATCAGAGAAGGCAGGATCAAACAGCCTTTTTACACAATGCAGAGGATTAACCCCTTAGGTTCCACAGGGAGTAAAACAAGCATGCTTTACTACATATACACACTGATTTTACTGTTGCGGGTTTAGTACCACTTTAAATACCTCATGCCTGGACCGCTACTTATTTAACTCATACATTTATTCATTTATTTCCTTTTGCGAATTGAACTTAACACCGTTTTACAGTTATTTACCTCATTTTTGGTTTGTGAGGTGAATAACTCATAAGGTGATTGAATTGGCATTTTCAGCATCTCTTGAGATAATTGGAGTAAATGTGTCCCGTAATTTAATTTTCTCATTATAATCGTTAGTGAATTGATCCCACTGTCACCAGTCAGTATCTCTGCTCACCACCACACCAGTCACATGATGATGCTGGACTGCTCTGGTGATAGTATGTAAAAAAAATGTATTTCATTTCTTCATTTTCCAACAAATTGTGATAAGAAATTACAACTTCGAAAAACTCGCCATTCCTCTTACTAAATACTTTGGACTGTCTACTTTCCAAAAAGGGGTCATTTGTACTGTCCTGGCATTTTAGGGCATCAGTACATCAGGATTGACAAATTTTTAAATATACTGTATATAGTATACCATAGTTTATAGACTTTCACACAGACTAACGTCGATTTGGGTTATTTTTAACAATGAAATGTAGAAAAATACATTTTGGCCTAAATTTATGAAGGAAAATTAGTTTGTTTTTTTTCAACATTTTTGGTATATTATAAAAAAAAAATAAAAAACTCTGTTTTTCTGTCTAAAAAAAATGCTAAAAATGTTACTTGGGTACAGCGTTGCATGACTAATAGGTATTCACAATGTGACAGCGCTAAAAGCTGAAAATTGGTTGGGGCAGGAAGGAGGTGTCTGGAATTGAAGTTGTTAAAAGTGTTTCAAAGTTTCTTTTTTTAACCCTACTAATTATGTAACTATTTGTTATTACTTGCTACACTAAAGTAGATCAGAACATTTTCATATCACCAGCCTTACCCAGCATCTGTGACAATGAACCTAGTTTTTATACATTGTTTCTCCCCTTTCAAAGAGGACCTGTTAACTCTACGAAGGTAGCACACTACATTAATTGTTACAAATGAATTCAGGGTTACATAACACACCCCTACAACAGTGCATTTTAAATGGGGGCTGTGATGTGTAGTCAGCTGTATGCAATTCTTATACTTGACAGAGCAACATGCAATGTCTCGTCTTCAATAAAATAAACTTGCCTTCCTGTTTGCAGTCTTCTTTAATGTACACTGAACTGTGCCTGCGCAGCTCAGGGTACATTCTTGGCACGATGCCTGTGTGCCAGGATGAATGAACCCCAAAAGTTACATAATCTCGCTGGCCAATCCAGCACGCCAAAGCCCCAGCACAAGCCAAGAAGGTACCATCTGCGGCAAGGGACATCAGACTGTTGGAAAGGTGAGTATCCACTTTAAGTTTTGCAATGGAAAGCCAAAAGCAGATAGGTTGCCATGCACAACTGTTCCAGATTCTGTATGCTTCAGTTTTGGTGACTTCCCCTCAACTAGGAGAATTATCAAGAAGTGGTTCAGGCTTTGTACGTGCACCATTCTTCTAAGATGAGAAAATGGTGCAGATGCTGCTCCTAATTAACATAAGGGGCACAAGCTCTGTTTCCTGTGCTATGCTGAAAGCTCCGGATCCCCCTGACCACCCTCCTACTCCTAAATTCGGGAAGGAAGAAAAGGGTTGTTGACCCCGTGGGCTCTGCTCCAATAATGTAATCACTGCAGACAGTTCACATCCCATATGCCAGGTCCAATCTGGTGGGGATCTGCAGCAGTTTTATAAAGTAAAAATTACTGCAGTCCCGGAGCCAGGGAAGTCACACACATTGAGTTTCTGTTTATGGCATGGGTGGCACTCATGTAGGTTTATCTACTTAGTTAATATGGCACAGGAATCTTTCTTAGGTCCATGCAATGTATTTTAATTTCTAGACGCATGAACAGGTAAAATGGTTGCCTCTGCTGAGATAAGTCCTCCTTAAAGGTGGGAGTAAAGCAATTACCATCAAGGATCTGTGCTGAAATATCATTGTTTTCTCACCTTTAGTCTCCACAGTGGATAAGGCGAGTCACCATCACGATTGAAAAACCTTGTGGTTTTGGTTCCAGAACTAAGGAGATATTCAGCGGGAAGTCCTTGGGTCTGTGAGATGTATCGGATCTGCACGGAGACAAAAAAACATCACAATGGTAGGAAATCATCATAATAGAAGTCCACTCATTGCCATAAGGTAGCCAGGACAATCTATAGGTCTTTGAGCAGCTACTAAAGTTGAATCATACCTGTCAACCTTTTGAAATGGGAAAGAGAGATACTTTTTTGCACAGAGATGGAAAAGGAGAAAAACAGTAATTTTGAAAAAAAACATGGCTACTGTTCATGATATACAGTGCACAGAGCAAAGTGCATGCCATCAGGTTAGGTAGCAGTGTGCCTGGCGTGGTCTTTGCTAGCTTTCAAGGAGACCACCTTTGTCACTTTGCAGGCCATGGAGAAGAGCAGGCCATCCTTCTGCTCAGCTCTGGACTAAAACTCTGGCCATGCTGTATCTAGGACATCTCAGAGATAGATCCCTGCAGTACACTCAGGAAGCTGCCACCATACATACCATACCACAGTTATAGCTCCCAACTGGCAAGGTAGGGGTATGTCCTTTGCATACAGGCTTTGTAATAAAAGGTGTCCCTTTCTCTCATCTCAAAAAGTTGGGAGGTATGCACAGTCACCTGCTTTTGACTCTATAGGCTAAACATTGATTGGGCCTGCTAGAAGAGCAGCAAGCTTTGCTAGTTGTGATAGATACCTTGCCTACAAACAGAAATGAGGTGAGGACAGCTCTCTGTAAACAGGTGAATCCAACATCCATCTCTGTAGTAGTGATGGAAAAAAAGATGGTCAGGATAGGAGTGTGCCAACTAGATCAATAGATCTAGTTGTTTTTATGTGTCAAAGTGAGAGTCACAGGTGAGTCAAGGGGTTGTCCACACTATTTCGGTAAAATCTGGGATATATGGACAGACTCAAGAGATTCAGTGGCTTTTGTTGATTTACCCCATTACCTTTTTAACCAGTTGTATCCTTGTATTTGGTACAGCATACTTCAGGTTAGGTTGTGGAGTCGTGGAGACCGTGTGTAATGCTTCTATTGTATTGATAGGGGTGGGAACGTGAGAGTGCCATCTGGCACTGGTTGTCACAAATTTAAGTGTTGAGTTGTCTGTTATCTGTTTTGTTATTTCATGTTATTTTCTCAGCCTTGGTATGCCCAATAAGCTTTGTTTTGTAACTTACACTTTTAAAAGAATAAAGAGAATTTGCAAAAACAAACAAAGAAAAAAAATGGAGTCACAGGTGTAATCAATGCATTTTGGGGGCTCACCAGTCCCCAGTCTGGCTGTCTGGGTGCCAGCCCACCTGGCTGACTGTTACCCTGAACGAATCTTCCTACACGTTATTAGATTGTTTTTAACCATTTAATCCAAGTCCAGTGTGCTACCTAGTCTTTTATTCTGAAAGTACAAACCCTGGTGAAGGGGACTGTTGAGCATCCAAAATGCGTGAGATAATCCTCTTAAGCGAAAAGTAAGTCACCAACACAACAAGGATCTTCAGAACAGGTCCAAAGATTTATTCAGTGATCACATAATTACAGAGGTAATGTTTCATAGCCACGCAAGACCTCATCATCAGGCATGTGACACCTGATGAAAAGGTCATGCGCGGCTCTGAAACGTTGCCCCTGTAATTATGTTGAATAAAACTTTGGACCCATTCTGAAGATCCTTGGTGTGTTGGTAACTTCTTGCTTTGAATGTCTTTGGTTTCCAGATGGTGGTACAGAACCCACTTACATTCACAAAATTTTTTCAAGAACTTTAGCATGTGAATAGTGTATTTGAACTTGGATTCTCCTGTGACTCTCACTTTGGCAAATAAAAATCAACTGGACCTATAAAACTTAGTATGCAATCTCCATTCTTTATTGTCTTTTTGTAGGAATGATAGTGAGGATAGATCTCCCCAATAGAGACACAGGAAGCAATAAAAATCTGACATAGGTCCTCACCCCTTGCACACATTATACAAACTGAATAATAAATTTGGCTTTATTTTAAACATTGTAACTTAGCAAGCTGGACATCCCCTGAGCCCTGCACTCACCTGGTCATACTCAGAGGCTCCGGGATACAGAGGCCACCCCAGGAACAGCTCCGCGATGACACAGCCCAGAGACCACATGTCAATGGCTTCACAAAATGGCAACCCGAGTATGATCTCTGGAGCCCTGCAGAGTGAAGCAGCAACAAAGTTAAGGAATGATGAAGGAGAGAGGAAGAGAGGAACAGTAAGAACATTCTAGTCTGCATACAGCACACAAAAATCACAATACCCTGTACCTACACTCTGTTTCTCATTCTGGATTTACGTCTGTTGGCATGCTCTAGCCCCTGCGTGGGCATTTCTGATGTCACTGTTTTTGTCTTACAAAACCAATAAAAAGAGTTGTTATGAAAAAAAAAATCACAATACACATACTTTGTATTCAATCCATCTATCTAAAAAGTAAGATAAGCAACAGAGCCACTCTGGGATTTGGTGCATAGTAAATCCGCTCATGTCATGACACGGATAGTGGTGACCTGCCAACGTGCTCTTATAGATTTAAGATATGTGAAAGATGGGCAACTATTGCAGCATATTTACTTTATATAAGATTTCAAAATTAGCTGCTATAGATCTACAAGTGGCAGCATGACCAGAATTGTTCCTGACAGTTGCAACAACAAAGCAGAATGTGCAGCATGTCAGCCTATAGTGGTCTCCAAACTGGGGCAGGATGTGGAACTATGCTTGCCTTCTGGCACTAATGCTCCCACTGACACCAACAAAGGGGCATGATTTCCCTCAATAACAACAAGGATGCAACACTCAACATGCCCTCTAAAGTCTGACAGACGGTAAACTGGCCTCTTGTTTAGAACGTTTGGTGACACCTGGCCTACAGCTTGTTCAGGAGTTTACGTCCAGTATTGTTCTTGAAGGTCCTCATTTATCCAGATCAATGTATATCTAGTAGTAGCATTCAGCTTGACATGTTCTGTAGTGTTTTTGACAATGACCTAAGCATGGTGTAAATAACTGTCAGTCCTTTATTTTCTCAATTGAACTGTCAAATCATCAAACGGCTGGTGTTATAACTGATCACATGTGCAGCACCATGACAACTGCAGATCAAACAAAGGCTAAGATGGCAGCTTCCTTGGCTGTAAAGGATAGGAGGGTTTAGTTCCAGTTTAAGTGAACCTGGACTTGTGTTCCATAAGGGGAAAATAACAGATTCACTTTAGAGCAGAGAGGGTAAAAAAAAAAGCACGTACTGATATTCCAGATGCTACTCCATCACCACACTGATGCGCTCATAAAATTGGTGTGTACATGCTCACCAAACACCATGTTGGAGCTCACACAGAACCAAAGACATGTGACAGTATGCAAGTGTACAATCCAAAAGCACGTCCCTGCATTAAAAATGGCTGTGTGTATAAGTGTATGCTGCAGCGACCGTCGGCTGGAACTGAACAGAATCAGCAAGGGAGAATGTCACCAGCACACCGAGGATCACCAATATGGGTCCAAAAGTTTTAATAAACGATCAAATAGTTACAGCAAGGCAACGTTTCAGAGTCTCGCAGGACCCCTTCATCAAGCATGTGACTTTTAGACCCATATTGGTGATCCTTGGTGTGCTGGTGACATTCTCCCCTCCATGTGACAGTGATGCACCTCTAAGGTACTGAGCATTTCATTGTAACGGTGTGGGAAAGTCACCAATATCAGCAGGCAAACAGGGCACTGGACAAGCAGTGGTGAAAGGTGAGTATTTGTCCTAAAATGGTAAGGATATGGGTTTGCATTAAAAGGTAAAGGTTCTGCTTAAGAGAAGACATAAAAGGATGCCTGCTAGAAAAAAAAAAACTCTGTGGTGCCCCTCTCTGATTTAGTTTCACTATGTCACTGGTGCCTGACTTCAAGGCCAAGCTCCACAAACTGCTCTCCTCTTATCCAGCAACCTACTGGTCTCCGAAGGCAGCCTGAATGGTGAAAATCAAAAGAGGAGAACAGGTCCTCTTTGACGCACAATTCAGCTATACGGAAAATGCTCTCCCTGCCAGAAATACAATATTTCTGTTTGTTTTGGCTCTGCACCAACAAGCACAGTCACAGCCTCATTCCAGGGTGATTTCTCTTCTGTTCTGCCAGCACGATGCAGTGCCGTGCGGCTGCTGCAGTGTTAACAGAGCTGAGAAAATGATTTTTTAGTCTTTTCCATGTGGGAACTTTTCCTGACCCTGTCTGTAACCACAAAACCAGCACAGAGTAGAGGAGGAGGAGGAGGGAGGGGGTGTCTAAGGGGGAGCACGATTTTGACTTGGAGAGGCGATTGCATCCTTACTGGGTGCAAAAACACTTCCTCCCCCTGGCAGTACAATAGGGGGGCAACATAGAAACCAACTAAAAATGGAAATCTACCAAACATTATATGTATGCCAAGCAGAACTGATCCCTAAACTCGAAGGATATTAGATTCAGACCAGATATGAATTTGGATTCCCAAACCAAATCTAAATTTCAGTGTTAATTTTGACACTTTGGACTTCTAAAAGGTTACCAAAGGCTGCTTCAAAGGTTGTTTCTGCCTTATATCTGCTTCTTCTGTTTCCTTAGCACCCTTAGCTTGATCGCCAGTCCCACCAGGTCCCCCCCCCTTCTATCCCTCTTAGGATGTTTAAAGGAAGTGGCTCAGCCTTTTGCCAGGAGCTTCCCGAACCATTCTGCACAATTTTTTTCATCATTCTTGTTCTTTAAAGCACACTTTTTTGGAGCTGGGTTCCGATTTCCATTGACTTCAATGGGACTTTGGATTAAAAATTCCAATTATTTAGTTCATTAATTTTTAAAAAGTGTGGCAGAACTACGGCTGATAGAACTTTTTTTTAGCTTCTCTTTAATGCCAAACAATGACTGGCAAAACCTGGGGCCTAATTGATCAGAATGTAATATACTGCAGCTTAGCTGTGGTGGCTGCAGTCATTTTCTTAATTTTCGTTTCCTTTATGGTCACCTGGATATTTTTCCAGTCCCTTTGTGACACGCTCACTCACGGTACTATATCTAGGGAGAGAGTCATGGTTGTCACCAATGCTGGTCTTCCTCTCGTTCTCTTCATTATTTGGGGAATGGGGAAATAAGTAGTTTACAGAAGGAAGATAACATTTCCTTGTGCTAACTAACTAATGAAACCACCAAATCTAAAGACTAGTAATCTGCAATATATTATATTTCTGTTCTTGGGTTTGGATATCCTTTAACAGGCCAGTAGTTCATACATGTATTCATTATATAGTGAACTAATCTGCAATCTGTTAACCGTATGAAGACACCTGTAATGATAGTATCTGGGTTATGAATTTATTTTCTAATATTTTCACATATATACGTATATTTTTCTCCACATTTACATGCAGGCCAAGCTGTCCAGCAAAAGTGACAGTTACAGAGGCTGCTATAAACCATTTAACACTGCCAGGGCCGCATACAGCAATCAGCTTGTATTCATATGGTTTAACCTTTATCCCAATATAAATAAGCCTGTTGCTAAAACTGCTTTGAAAGAGTTCCCCACAGTCTTCCATTAATGTTTTTGTCACTTACCTAAAGTGATTCTAAAAGGCTTAAATTTGAAAAAGAAAAAAGAACAAAACATGTCTATACACCTGCTGTGTGCAGTGGTTTTGCACAAAGCAACCCGGATCCTCCTCTTCTCAGGTCCCCCGCCGGCCCTCCTGGCCCCTCCCTCCTGTTGGGTTCCCCTACAGCAAGCAGCTTGCTATGGGGGCACACAAACATGTGCACTCCCCAGCCGCTGCTCTGTGAGTCTATTCACACATGGAAAACCGGCACTGCCCCGCCCCCTCTCTCTTCTCATTGGCTCACTGGCTGTAATTGATAGCATTGGGAGCCAATGGCTCCCACTGCTAGTACAGCCAATGAGGAGAGGGAGTCCTGGGATAGCCGAGAGTCCAGTGCACATCACTGGATCTAGAAGGGGCTTAGGTGAGTATTAGGTGGGGCTTGGGGGGTGCTGCACAGAGAAGGTTTGTTACCTTCATGCATAGAATACGTGAAGGTAAAAAACCTTGAGCCTTTACAGCCACTTCAAAGCAGAACTTCACTTTCTCAATCAACGTGGACTATTTCTAATCCTTATGCTGCTAGCATTAGTAAAAATAGATAATAAAGTAGAATCATATTTAAACCTTTTTGTTGCATTCCTTCATTTACTTCCTGGTTTCCATGCCTAGGCAAATGATACCATACATCCCAGGAGTTTTCAGGAGGGGAGCGAGGGTTCTCAGCTCAGCTAATGCCTGAACTAAGGACAGATGGATTCGAGGAAGTGGGCTGGAGAGATGAGGTACAGCACCTGGAAGCTCCATGCTCTGCATGATTGATGATGCTGCCTGAGTCTTCAGATCCCAGTCTGGGGCTTATATAAAACTGCAAAAGTAGCAGAATGCTATAAACAGACTGTGAGTGGGCATTGAAGTGTGATGGAAAGTGCCTAAAGGCCTATGTTCATATGGCAAAAGCCTTTCTTGGGCTTTAAAAAATTTGAGGAGGCACGAACTTGGTATCAGAAGATCATGAATATTGACTCCAGCAAAAAGAAACTTGTGAAAGCTTTTCTTCTATCTAGGAGGATCTCTGGCTAAGGATTGTGAACATTGTATCTGATTGACCATCGATCATTGCTACTATACCAGTAGCATTCTGGTGAGTGCCTAGCAGTGGTGGAGTTCATTGGATCCTCTGGCACTCTTTTGAAGTTGGACACGTTGCTGATTTGTGTCTTGCAGTACCACTAACACATATATAGACTATACTTTGTCACATTGTTATTGTGATTTACACTAGCACCTATATATTACAGCATATGGACTTTATTCATTTATTGTTTCACTGATGTTTATGTTTTGTTTTGAATATTAGAAATGAATTATATAGCATTTTGGTTTGTAGTACTTGATGAAGTGCAATTCCACTTTAACTTCCACTGAAAATTCTATGTCTGTCTAGGACAGGGGACAACACTTTTCTGGAATTTCAGGGGTGTCTCCTAGTACTAATTTACAAAAATGGCTGTTGCTATTCTAAGTGCTTGTGACAGTTTGCGGCAGTTGATATTTAACAGCTTCCCGTCCGGCCCATGTACATAAACAGCTG